TCCTCTAAAACCTCCAACTGGTCTCCTCAGGTCCTCTAAAACCTCCAACTGGTCTCCCCAGGTCCTCTAAAACCTCCAACTGGTCTCCTCTGGTCCTCTAAAACCTCCAGCTGGTCTCCTCAGGTCCTGGAGGTTTACAGACTGTTGTTAAAAGAGGAAACGGACCTGGAACACTTTTACAAACTTGTTGCTGACATCAAATTCAAAACGACCTTTTTCATATTAAAAAGTTATAATTTCTTGCTGCAATCATTCGTTTGCTCTGTTCCGTTGTAATAAATATACCGGTAAGTTTGTTTTAATTTACGTTTTCCACAACACCCAACTTGTGAGGTTTATCAAACTTTTTACATTTTTAATTAATTTCTGTTCTTTACAGAACGACGTTAACATGAACACAACAGCTGATCGTAAATGTTGTTTCTTCATGTTTTGACATGTTTAGATTGAAAATAAATCAAAGAAACGTTGATTTGCCCAAAAGTTCGTCTTCTTTTCTTCAGACTTTTGATTCGACTCAAATTAAAACAAAAACGTTTATTTGTCGTTCACTTTTCCTTCTCTTCGTCTCAGTTTGTTTCTTGCTTCTCGATGACATCACTCCAGGGTTTTTCTCCACGTTGGGCTCAGACAAGCATGTTGCACAGCATCCTCTCCACTCCAACACCTCCTCCTCCTCCTCCTCCTCCCAGTTTGGACCAGTCCTCCCACCCCCAGGGACTCTTCCCAACACATTTATGCTTGGAACACTTCGTAGGTGTGACCAAGAACGTCTTTGTAAACTGGTGAGAATTTTTTTATCGAGGTGTGTGGAAATAAAAGTGAAAGGAGGGAAAAGATGAAGCCTTAAACAATAAAACATCTGGAATATTCCCAAACAAGCTGAAGTTTAGAAAATTTTAAATAAACTTTAAGGCAAAATACAAATAAAGACAAAATATAAAATGTTTAAACCTTTGGGTCGCACACAAACGAAATGATATATATATATATATAATTAAGTTTAAATACTTTAGCACCTTCTAGATTTAACGTAGAGTGAATTTAAAATAAACCTGAACAACCCAAATGTAACGCAGAGATTTAAAGACGACACTTTTCTCCAGATGGTTTGTGACTCCAGTGATGGTGAGCTCTGGTTCCCAGTGGTGGTCGTCATCACAACGAACTGGAGACCAGTTTTTATTCGATCTATTTATTTGTTCCTAGCCGAAGGAGACCCGAATCCATGTCTGCCACAAGTTTGAACAGCGCAGAACATTTCAGGGCAGAAGAAAAAAAAGTTTGTCAGTCTTTCTGCATTCGAAGGCGTCTGCAAAGAAACAGCTGGTCGCGGTTACCACGGCAACCTGCATTCCTTTACATGGGAGTAATCGGAGAGGGGGATGATGGGAAAGCAGAAGAGAGAGAGAGATCTGTGGAAAAATGTTCCCATTTGTTCTGCCTGGATTTGGCGAAACGTTATCCTCTTTCTTTCCTTTCTTTCTTTCCTTTCTTTCTTTCTTTCCTTTCTTTCTTTCTTTCCTTCTTTCAGTTTGTTTTTTATTCACAAGCAGCTCAGAAATCTTTCAACAAACGATACAAAAATAAAGAGATTTCTGCATCCAGACACAAAATGTCTAGAAATTAATTAGCCCACAAGAGAAGAAACAATTAGGGAGTTTTTAAATTGCATCCATCACCCCTCCTCTAAACTTCTGACACCACCTCCTCCTCCTCCACCTCCTCCTCCTCCTGCTGATGTGGCACACAATGTCTCCACAGAGAATAATCCTAATAATTACAGACTGCTTACCTCCTCTTTTTCTGCAGCTGTTTTATCACTAAAGAAGTCACATTTAACACAAACTGCATTATAAACTTGATTTTTTTTTGGCCTTTTTAAAATGAAGTTTGGAAACAAAAACTTTATTCCTGATTTTGGACAATTAACAGAAGATGCTGTTTTAGACCAACAAAGATATAAAACCAGAAAAACGGATCTTTAATTGTTTTTTTTTTTTTTACTAAAGCTGACAACTAGACTCCACGAGGGGAAAGTGTTTACAACTTGTTTTATTCGTCTCTAAACGCTGGCTGCTCTCAGGGAGTTTAATTTGAAGTTTAAAGGTGTATTTTATGTTGTTTGTGTGTAATAAAAACCAAGCGGAGTGAGACGTCTTACCTTCAGCTTTGCAGAGCAGGGACACCAGGAGAGAAGTCAGCCGTGCACGGGGCCCGAATGGTCTAACACACTCACCACTTCACGCTGAAGACATTTCCAGTGGGACGTCCCAGTTTGGACAGTTTCCTCCCTCCTTCCTCTCAACACAAACCTCCCATCACCCCCCACCCCCACCCCACTGCCTACAATTTGATGGGATTCATTATTTAAGAACTAAAAAGAACCTAAAAAAGGGTTGCTTTATAGGATTTATTTAGTTCAACTCAATTCTTTAATTTCTTCCTTGTTTAATTCTTTCGTTAGTTTTGTGTTTCAGCGTCACTTTATTTTGTTTTTGCTTCTGATTCTTTGCAGGTTTGGGTTTGATCAGTTCTCCTGTTTGGTGATCACACCCGTCTTTATTCAAGTCGTCTCTTGATGCCACTAACTCAAAGTTTTAAACGCTTTTCTCAGATTTTTGTTCTAATTTGTTGTCTATACAGTATTTTCCCATTCTGTACCCTTTTTAAAATTTACTTTCTCCTCTTTTGCAGCACATTTTCTTTTAACAAGGTTTTTTTTTTTTTTTTACATCAGTCACCTGCTTGAGATTTCAGCTTTAATCCAGATTAAACATTATGACTCCTTATTTTAAAAACTGGCAACAAAACTGGCCGCACTGCTTTGGGTGTAAATTATAAAGACGTTCCTTTTGATATGACACACTTGCATTTCCACTCTGACGTCTTCAGAGGGGTAGAGGTCAAAGGTCAGGCTGGAAAAACTGTTCCATAAAACCACAGTCTGACTCGGTGAAGACTGGATCTCACCGAGCTGCAGCTGTTAACAACTGCAACACTCGGAGAATAAACCAACCTCATTCAAGATGGCTGCCACAGCTAACAAACCAAGGCCAACACATGGGGGGGGGGGGGGGGCTTCAAGGCCATCCCAGACCAACTGAGAGACATACAGTGCTAACAAACTGATTCTGCTCCACATCGTACCAGTTAAGGGCTTGCCCACTGCCGGTACTCAGCCTGGTTTATGGGACCGTCCTGTTCGTGGATCCAAGCGAACTGCTCCGAGGTGATGATTAAAGCAGGCAGCACCTGATGATTGACCAGCGGAGCTACGTCACTGGATGACCCGCCCAGCAATAACCGCAAACTCCATCTGAACCTCCATTTGTAGTTTGTTGTTTCTAGACTTCAGTAATGGCAGCTTGAAATCCTCCAGGATTGACTGTCGACTGACAACAGAAAATTGTGCGTCGTGCACAACAATCTGTTACGATCCCCTCCACAGAGTGGGGAAACAAGTCTCACCTGAGAAGAACTGAGAAGATGAGAACTGACTCGAGTCATACTTATTAATGGCAAAGTGGCTATAGTCCTGGATCTTCACCAGTGAGTCCATCTGACTGGACATCCAGTGTCTCCTCCCGGATGGACACGTCCCTAAGGAGATGTCCAGGAGAGATCCTTACCAGATGCCCCACCTCAACTGGCTCCTCTCAATGTGGAGGAGCAGTGGCTCTGAACTTCTCAGTCTATCTCCAAAAGAGAGTCCAGCTACCCTGCAGAGGAAACTCATCTTGGCCACCTGTATCCACAGCCTCGCTCTTTCTGTCACTATCCTGAGCATAGATGGAGGTAGGAACGTAGACCGACAGGTAAACGGAGAGCTTCAACTTGCAGCTCAGCTCCTTCTTCACCACAACAGACCGGCACAGAGTCCGCAATGCATCTGTCGATCTCAACTCTTCCCTCAATCTCAACTCTTCCCTCACTCTTTAATAAAATCCTGTGATACGTGAACTCCTCCACATGAAGCAACACCTCACGCCCAACCCATTCTACCCCTGACTACACAGAAAAATTCTGTCCATGAAAGTTATGGCGAGAATGAGTGACAACAGACAGCCCTGGTGAAGTCTGGGGGTCCAACTTACCATGGGGAACCAACCCAGTCTCTTGGACCATTTGTACAGGAACTCTATGGGTAAAAAAGTACTGTAATTTTCACCCTATGTCGTGATTTTTTTGCACAATTTGCATGCCCTGCGACTTATACACCGAGTTGACATTTTCCCCATATTTATAAACTGAGTTTTGGCTGAGATATGACCGTTTTCATTCATCCCAACTGAAAATATGGAACACTACCATTTTCAGCCACTAGATGGCACTCGAGTAGTATGGCATGCTGTTGTGTAATGTAATAGGTAAAAGTGGCTATAAATGACACGAACGGTTTGCCGTAGACTGCCACCTTCGTCCATATCGCTTGGAGCAAATGTCAAAGTAGCTTCATTTCGCTGCGCTTCCCCGACAAAATGCAGCTGATTTGACCATTAAAGTGCATTTATTAAGTAAAAGTTCAACTGAGACACATCTTTACTATAATTATGAGCAAACAAATAATTGTTTTAAAGTGTTAATCTTGTTAAATTCTTGTTAAAGTCCTCCAGTGCACACTCTTGCAGCTGCCACTTGGTTGCCAATCGATTTTTGGCACAACATCGGCCCATATTTCCTGGATGTCAGCGGTGACGCGTAATCGATGCAACGTATACGGCGAAGTGACGTATTTATGGATTTTTCTACTTTATTAGACATATTTGGACTGATATGACTTATAGGGCGGTGCAACGTGTACGGCAGAAAATACGGTACTTTGATTATTACTTTTCCAACATGTTCTCAGTTTTCTGTCCTGGACCTTGAGCCGTACATATGTCTTTTATTTCGCAGACGGCATCCTTCCTGCTGAAGAGATTTCATGATTGAGCTTATTGGACTTGAGCTCAGTTTTATAAAACAGAGTCCAAACACCTGCCGTCTACAGACAGACGACTTCCCCGACAGCTCTGTCTGTTGTCTGTTAGTGAACTGCTTCGGTCTGCTCCCACAGTACAGATGATGTGAAGAACAGCTGGGTGAGGAAGAGGAAGTGGGGGGAGCTGCGATGCAACGTGGCGTTTTCCATTCTGCCAGGAAGTCCAGCTGATGATGAACAGAAAAAAAAGGAGGTGGTGTTTGTTTCAACATGACTTCTCTCCTCCTCCATCAGCTCTCCACAGCCTCACCCTCTTTTTCCCTTTATCTTCCCGTCTCTCCTCTCACACCCTGTCCTCTCTGCCATCCTCACCCTCTCCTGAAAACGTGGCAAACAAGATTTAGCACAAAACTGTAATTAGATTTTTTTTCTTCTTCTTCTGCTAAATGATTTAACTGCAGCTCTGCAGGTTTGTTCATGCCCAGATGTGCAGAGCGCCGCAAGATGCGTCCAGGGAGCTTGATCTGTGAATTATGCAGCTGAACACCTCTGTGCCACGTTGAGGAGTCTGAAAAGAAACGTGGAGAAAAAGAAAAGCAGATGAGCTGAATCAGGAAAAAGAAAATGCTCTTTACTCACATCTGTTCCAGATGCTGATTGATGGGTGACAGCTTTAAGTATCAGGGTTAACCTTAGAGGATGGTGATAATTTGTTTACCGTACTTTTGTCTGGAGAAAGTTGTGACTAGTTTTCTGAAACCATGTGGATTTTATCGTTAGTTATTCTGGTTATCCGGGGTTTCTGAGAACGGTTAAGTTTAATTTAATTCCTGCAGGGAATAAATCAGACATGAAATTAGGTTTAATACATTTTAGCTTTGAAACAAAGTAAAAAAAAAAAAAAAAGTTTTACTTTTTTATATATATTAAATGGTTTCTGACAAAGAAATCCACCTTCTTGATGCTCTATGATAAGTTGTGGTTCATGTTTTTAGGATTTTAATTCAGTTCAGTTCAATTCAAAATACTTTATTAATACCAAAGGGAAATTAAAGTTGTTGTAGTTCATCATCCTGGTTTCATAAAGAGAACTTACAAATGCTGATGTCTGTGGACAGGAAGGATCTGCAGCAGTGGATCTAAAGAAACTGGCTGCAGATGCTGATCCAGCCACCCAGCAGGCCCCTCGGTCCTCCTGGGCAGCAGAACTACCCGAGTGTTGGACAGAACTCCTCCCTGAGCGATGGCACTCCTCTCAGCATCTTGTTGAGCTCCTCATCATTGCAGACAGCCAACTGCAGGTGTCGGGGGATGATCCTGGTCTTCTTCTTGTCCCGAGCCACGTTTCCTGCCAGCTCCAGGATCTCAGCAGTCAGTCAGTCACTCGAGCACCTCCGCCAGGTAGACGGTGATGCATCCATGGTGCCTCCTTTACAACTCATTTGGGATTTGGGGCTGTATTTGAGGTAATATTTGAGATTTTAATCAGCTCCCAGTTGTAAAAAACACCTTGTTGTCATGGTTACGCTTCATAACAAATGTCCAAAAGTAACAAAAGTTTCAGTAAAAAATCTTCCAGTTGCACATCATCCAATACCAGAGGAAGTAATCATCCAAAAAAAAAAAAAAAAGAAGCCATTTACATCCAGAGAAAAGAGGAAATAAAGTTTTCAAAAGCAATATCCCAGAATGAAAGTAACAGCTACTCCAACATGCAGCCGCCTTGAGCGGCGCAATTCTAGAACACTGGACTTTACCCGAACCGTTTGGCATTCTGGTTCTTCTGTTTTTGGCCCGTTCTGTTGTAGATCAGCTGCTGTGTTTGGGATCTTGGTTCCAGTTTGGTCCAAGCTTCAGCTGTTGGACAGATGGATTCACTTCCAGAACACTTTGGTCTACAGAGGAGTTCCTGATCCTCTCAGTGACTGACTGGAGCCCAAACCATCAGCCCTCCACCACCGTGCTGACAGCTGAGGTGCTTGTTGGTGATAATCTGTGTTTGTTGTTCTTCAGATGTGCTCTTTTAGCTTCCTGATGAGACATTATCTTTATGCATCGTAGATTTCTTGCTTTTAGCTCGTGTTTTTTCAGTTTCAGCTTCTTCAGCGTCCATGTCGTATTTTAGCAGAAAATACACATTTTCTTTTTGGAAAAAAAAAATGTATTGAGAGCACACCGACATTTACTGCCCTGCTTTGAGTTTGGTCCGATTGAGTGTGGGTGTGTGTGTGTGTGTTGTGGTTCAGCTGTCTGGTTTACACGTCACCAAACTGTCTCCATCTGCTGACGTCTCCTGCTTGGTCTCAGCTTTCACGGTTTC